TTTTTTTTTTTTCTTGTTTCATCTCTCAAATTACACAGCAAGGAGATTGCTCTATAATAGATACTGTGCTATTAGTCCTTCTGTCGATCCCCTGTGGTCTTCATCGGTAAAAGGATTTGTGCCTTCTCTGTTTTTAATAGAGCCGTGCACCCTTCCTGTGTGTCCAAATCAATAGGCTCAGCTAGGCTGTCCTGCAGCAGCAAGAAGGGTTATCAGGGTGTGAGGATTTATTGGTGATGCAGTTTATTGCCTTATAAACAAAACTGCAAAGACTAATCATTGATCTGTTTTGTTTTGTTTTTTTTGCTTCATTACTTTTAAATAAACTCAGGATTACTGTATTTACTTTATTTTAAGATCACCATCCTTGCAGAATCAGTGTCTGATGTGAGAACCTCATTGTGCATCATCAGACAGCCAATCACAAAGCTGTGATAGCAGTTCTTCAGACTAGTGTGAGAGCGAGAGGCTTTAATGTGCACAAACCAACCCACACGAGCTCAAAGGGTCTTCTAACGGTAGTGTAATTAGTGCTGAATTAGTAGCAGCCTGTGTAGTGTTTAGCAGTTAGTTGGTGTGTATCACAGTTATTATTAGAATTATTTTCATAGCCCCTTTACATACGCCAGCTGTTAAGTTAATGTTTGCAGTGCTGTTTTAACTTTTAGCACATTCGCAAAGTTATTATAAGCCTCATTCACGCACAATTGCATGCATTCATGCAAGCCTAAGATTCACATACTCACACTCTGATGGACGCATCAGGGGCAACTCGGGGTTCAGCATCTTACCCAAGGATACTTCGACATGGGGATTGAACTATCAACCTTTTGATTAGTAGACAACGTGGTGGAGCAGGACATTAGCTACGGCTACTTCATTAGGAGGACATCACAAAATATTTACATAAATGTAAAATGAGTGGAAATTTATCATAATGTTTTTTCTGAGTCCTGTGAGATTTTAATCAGTGGCGTTGATGAAAATGAAACCAGTGATCCCACGCTAACTCACCGTGTCATTATGTTTAGATGCTTAATAGAGACGCGCTTGGCAGAAGAATTGGCAAACTGTGTCAAAGATTAAGGTACTTTGTCTTTGCTGAAAGATAAAAACAAATTGAATTTGGTGACTATTATAACAGCACAGAATGAAATTGGCTTTTAAAAAGACACAAAAATGGTAGGAAAACTGTGTCAGTGTAACGCAGTGGTTACAGTCACAAAACTGTAGTGTATACAAACATTGGCTTGTTGTTATGTCAACAGGTTTGATGATCAGTAAATCATTGGGATTACAATAATCTCTAAGTCATTGGGAACCAAAGTTGTAATTGAAGGTGAAAACTGATTAAATGCTCAGCCCTAATTATGAACATAAACCATCAGGCTCTGAAAAGATGCTACAAACAACATCTAAAATGTTTTATATGACATATTTCCTTTGAGGCGGTTACATCAGTCGCTTCTACACCACACATATCTGATCCAGAGGCTGTTCACATTAACTCAACACGGACACGTTTCAGTTTTATCCATAATCAGCTTCAGCAGACCCACAGTGCAGAGTCTGACATTGTTCCATTCTACTGTGAAGTCTTAATTAATTACTAATTAATTAATGAATTATATAAACTAACGATCAGATTTTGGAAGTGGACAAATGCTGTTGGTGCACTGTTAAATGCAACGAGTGAGCAAAGACTGCAGCACCACTCAAAGACTGACTGCGATGAGTCAGCTCAACATCATGAAACTACTCCCAACACAGCTCGTGTTTTTATGCATTTTAATTTTTGATTGAATTGTAAAACTTTTGATATATGAGCTAATTTAGCTTTTGATTCAGCTACTGCATGGGGCGAAGCTCTGCCTGTGCATGTAGGTCTGTTATTATCAGGGCGACCTGCTTAGCAAAGTCATTTAAGTATTTTTGAGTCACAAATAAATAAAACTTTCAATACATTTGTTAATTAGCTTGCACATGTAGTTTACATTGTTCTGAGGGACCTACTGTACATTTACATCTGAGTGTACTGGCTTTACCTCATTGCTTAGCGAGTGGTTCCTCCTCTACAACCTGTAACAAGCTCT